CGCTGGACAGCGCGGAGCAGCACGACGCCCTGGGCGACGTGCTATTGCCAGATATGTAGCCCAGGCACGGGTACAGGCTCACCATCTCCGTCAAGCAGCTGCCCGACGACGACGACGACGGCGCCGGGGCCGAGGAGGACTGCGCCGCGCCGGGGCCGGCCAGGAGGAGGAGCGCGGCCAGGGGGACGACGGCCAGCGCCAAGCTGCTGCTTGCTCTCGATGAGGCCATTGCGGGAACTCGAACTCGTTTTTTTGTGTCCTGTAAACTGTGATCCTGTCACCTGTGCACGTGTGTGTTGTTTCTTGTTTGTTTGTGCTTTGAGCTGCTTTGGCTGTGGATTCTGCTGGCTAGCTTTTCGTGTGGTTTATATAGGGGCGCATGGTGTGTGTTAGATTCGCGGCTTGGGGATCGGTGAACTACTTCTTCCTACTAACAGCGCTCTCATTGACGTTCTGGCGGTTGTTAATTCAGCGACATGATCCAAATTCAGAGGTGATCAGTGATGTGTGTACGGAGAATTGTTTTCTTTTCTTTCTATATAATAACGAAATAGGAAGAGTAGCTAGCTCTACTCGCCTTGATTGGTGGAATCAGGGGTGGATTGGTAGGTTTGTTGGATGTGTGTGACCTGTAGCACTACTTTATGCGCGCTGGAATGGAGACGGGTTGTTTTAGCCCTCTCAGCAACCAGTTTTTTCTATGTATTTATATTATTTTATAGCTATATTTATACCGTTTTATTACTATATTTATAATGATAGTGTAATTTATTGAACAAAGTGGTGTAATTTAGAAATAACACAAATATATACTAAATTTTTTGGATTCTAGACATCAGAGAAATATATGTCAAATTGTTCACAAATGTTATCAAATTGTTCATAAATTTCAGAAAAAATTACAGATTCACTGCTCGCGTGCTCCTCCCACCGGCAAGGGCAGTCGCGCCGGTTGCAACGTCCCCTGCCCTGCTGGCTGCGTGCCGCCGGCGCTCCCGTGCCGAGAAAGACGTACCGCCTCCGTGTCGATCGGCAGCCTAACGTTGTTGTCGGCGCTCAACTTCATGACCGAGGGCCACCACTCCATGACGGTGGTGGAGGCGGACGGCCACTACGCTAGGGCCCGTCGTCATGGATAGCCTCTACATCTACTCCGGCAACGCAGCGGACCTCCGCGGGCCTAGGGGCGGCGACGGCGGCGGCACACAGCAGCTTCGGGCGGCGGCTCGCAGCGGCTTCAGGCGGAAGATGCAGCGCGATCGGGCAGCAGAGGCAGCACGACTACCACATCGGACTAAACCCAAATCAACCAGTTATCAAATAGCAATTCTGTTACACAACTATCAGCGACATCCAAATATCCAATGCATTTTGCAACAAAAAAAATGCAATTCCACAAACAACTAAATAGAACATATTTTTCTCGTTGTCGACGCTTTGACCCTTTGGGTTGTTGTAACTTGTTGTCCAATTTGGACTTTTTCTTTTTAATATAATAATTGTCGGTTTTCATGTATGGTTCGTTTTAATATAAAAACAAAAAATAAAACCTATTTTCAATTTTTTAGAAAAAACTAAATCGAGTTCCATCTAGTTGTGATGGGTGCATGCTAACACAGGCACCTACCATGCAATTGTGAGTGAATTATTGGCAAAATATTAACAAAGCTTCCTCTACGATTATTCACCTTCCGAAGGAAGAACTGAGTTGTCTTATAGCACTAGTATATTACTATCTCAGTCCTATAACATATATATCTTATAAAGATAAATCCCACTAGCAATTTATCTTGTCATACAAAGTGTCCACATCAGTATCCACTAGAACATCACACTAGCACATTCAACTATCTCACCATGCAAAGTGTCCACATCAGCATCCACTAACACATCCAACTAACACATGACATTATGTCTTCATTCAAGCTATTCACATTAGCAAACCACATTATTTACTAACATATGTTTAGTTGTCCATATCAGAATGCTAAAAACCATCTACTAACATCTATTATGATATTTATTCAATCATATTAGTAAATATAAATAGTATAATTTCACCAGCGATTCCCGCAGCAACGCGCGGAGCGTTCTTCTAGTATAATATATATAAGATACCCAAGCATTAAACTTGTTCTAAATTGATTTTAGATATATATAGATCCTCAAAATTCACATTATATCTACCATTAATGTCAATCGGCGATCCAAATATGATAATTAAGGAGGGTTATATGTTATTTATTTTATCACATAATATGTCTTCAAACTGGTTTGATAGCCTTTCAGGACGGAGTGAGTAGTAAAGATGCTGGAACGGCTGCCTTCTCTCTCTTTTTTCCCCACGACGGCTATTAAACTACAGCATCTCATTGTAGCTGTTTTTTTTTCTAATTCCCCACGGAGGAATTAGAACATCATGACTATTTCCTGCATGCTGTCCAAAGCAGGGTAGATGGATCAGAAACCTTGGGCGTGATTGGTTGCCTGCTCCATCCAGCCTGCATGTATCCAGGCATCCCCATGGCAGCCATGCTCAAGAGATGCAATAGACTATTGCTTGCTTGCTTGTTCCATCTCATCCAGGCCCATTAGAGCTGGTGTTTAGTTGCAACGCTGCACAGACATATGCAAGCAAAAGATGCAGATAGTATGTTTGGTTGCATGAACGAAAGTAGTTGTTGTAACCTCTTTGCACGCAATGGTGAGGTCACCTCTTCCACGGCCGACAAATGAATGAAAGTAGTTGTTGTCACCTCTTTGCCAATGCCTGAACTTGGACCAGCCTTTGGAGCCACCACCGACAAGTAGAACAGGCAGCGGAGGCTGTGGAACCGCCGCCACTCAAGGGGATGAGGGAGTCGCTATGCCCTCCCACCTGGGATGGATCGACGCCGATTTTGCCATGACACGATAGACCCAGACCAAAAACTGGTGAACACGGATCTAGGAGCGGGTTGAAGGGATTTGGGCTTGGGTGCTCGAGCTGCGGGTGGGTGGTGTGGCCTCATCGGGGGGAGGGGAGGGGGCAGGGCGGTGGGCTGAGCGAGAGGCATGTTCGGAAGAGTAGCCTTCATCTCCTACTAAGAAAACACTAGGATGTCATCTGTATATTTTCGTGTCTCAAGCCACTCTCATTTGTAATTCAAGAAATGGTGACATCTATAATTGATCCTTAGCAATTGAATGTTGATAGCTATATGTAAGGATCCCTGCTATGCCTAGAGAGGAGGGGGTGAATAAGCCTGTTTAAACCAAACTCGAACTTTTGTTAGAAGCCTACACGACATTGTCGCTCTGCCTGACAAGCTCGAGATCACAATTCAAAATCCACCCAAAGGAAAATAGATCGAGTAATTTACTGAGCTTCCTAGGGTAGAGTAGAGCCTATTCCACCCGTTGGTAGTAGTCGGAAGTGCACGAATGAGTAGATTGGGAACCAAACCCCCTCACCACACAAACAAGTATAGCACAATATAAAAAGCAAGAATACAAGAGACACGGGGATTTATCCCGTGGTTCAGCTCACCACGAAGGCATGCCTACCCCTCCACGTTGTTGATGAAGCCACCAAGGCTTGGGTTTCAAGAACCCTATCCTCTTTCCCAAGTCAAGAGAGAAAGTCTCCTGAGATGAGAGGTTCTTACTAGATTAGAGGGTGATTACAAACGTTCCGAAGCCGCCACACAAGTTGGTGTACTTCGACAGGCGACGCCTAGCCGGCTAGGAGCAAGAGCTCCAAGAGTAACAAACACAAACCACCGGCTTAAACGCGAACCAAATGCTCTAGGAGTTGAAGAACAGGCTGGAGTGCTCTCTATTGCAGTTTGCAGGCTCAATCTCTCACGGAATCGGAGGAGGAATCAAAGGGAGAAGCTTGAGGTGCTCTAATGGTGAGTGAGGGAGAGAGAGTTGCTTTGGTCGCACTAGAGAAGAGAATGCTCGAGATGACCATTGGGAGGAGAAGGGAGATGAGAAATATCCCCATGTGCCGCTCCATGAGTGGCAGCTCCACGAGCGGTAGTGCCGCTCAAGCCTGACAGCTACAAAGATAAGGAGTGAAAGCTTGCTATCAAGGCTGAGGGTTTGAGGATACTTAGTGGATGATTTGAGCACTTGGTTGCACATTAAAGCTTGTGCATTGTGTTCCCTTTATAGTATGGCTTTTTCTAAACTTAATTTGAAAATATAAAATAATTTAAACGCCTTTGAGTCACTTGCTGCGTCCTTTTGTAGTTGGGGGCTCCACCATTTCATGTATTATGCTCCTTTTCAGTTTATCTGTTTGTCATCTCGATAAATTTCATAGTTCTCTAATTGCATGGTAATTATCACCAAAACTCACAATTATGGCTTGATTGCACTTACACAAAACAAATTATCTCATCATAAAAAAAATTTGCTCACATTGCAATGCACGGGCATGATCCTAGTAGAAGATATATTTGAGCACCACTTGCTCTAGGTTTTAAATAAATAAATAAATCTTCTAAAAGGGTTTCGTTTGGCAAAATACTATACTAACACTTTTGTGAAGAAAAGTTTACAAAATGTTTACTCAAATTCGAAACCTAAATATTTGGAACTATTTATTTATTTAAAACATTATCCAAATATTTTTTTTATCAAAGTTTTATGCAACAAAATGACTTTTTTATTGAGAGAGGAGAATGGAACTTTTCTTTTAAATAAAAAGGAGAATAGTACGTGGGGAAAGTTGAAGGTGCAAGTGCAAGGACTTTTTCCAATAACAACTGGGTATTTTGATCTGACCGTGGAGCAACGTTAAAAGCCAGAAGAGAAACTGAGAATCTGAGCTTATTTTGCGGCATTTGAGCCCACCTCACCGAGGGCCCAAATTGCAATGCGTTGGACGCTTGGAGCCGCACCGGGAGCCCCATCACCATCAGACCGCACTTCACTGGCCGCGGCTCCACTCCTGCAATCGCAAGTCGCAACGGCCAACGCCAACCAAGGCCAAACCCTAGCCGCCGACCACCATGGCGGCGCCGTCGTCTCCGGATCCGGCAGCTCTGATGGACGAGCTCGTCGAAGAGTGCCTCGTCCGCCTCCCACCGGAGGACCGCGCCGCCCTCGTCAGCAGGCAATGGCACCGCGTCGTCACCGGCGCCATCTTCCGCCGTAGGTACATCGAGTTCCCCCGCTCGGCACCGCTGCTGGGCTACATGCTCAACCAAGACAACAATTCCATCCGCTTCGTCCCTACGTCGTCGTTTCTGCCGCCCCAGGTTGACCGCCGCGATGTGCGAGCCATCCACTCAAGGCATGGCCGCGTCCTCCTGATTTCTGTCCGGGAGCGGGAGGGTGACGGTCTCGGCCTCTTCGTGTGGGATCCCAGAAAGGACAAGCAGTGGGAACTGCCCGTCCTGCAGCCAGGCGCGCGGATAGCTAACTGGGACGCCGCCTTGGCCTGCGCCGTGGGCGACGGCTGCAGCCATCTGGACGGCCACTTCAAGGTCGTCTTTGTGGGAAGATCTGGAGGGCGGAGGTTTCTCTTGTTTCTACTCATCGGAGGCTGATAGTTGGAGTGACCCAATCTTTGTTTCGGAGAAAGGAGGATATGTTGCCTATGGTATGTACAAGAGTGTCCTCGTTGGGAATGTATGCCTTATACTACAAGATCGGAGGCATCGATAACATCTTTAAGCTCGACCTGCAGACACATCAAATATGTTGGATCAGCCAAGGGCCTTGTTCGCTGGTTAGTGCTGGTGCTGATTTGGGCTGGCTGGTGCTGATTTTTGTGAGAGGAAAACACTGTTGGTTGTCTGGTTTGGGCTGGCTGAAACCAACAAGCGAACAGGCTGAAGGAGTGCCCGCGCCCAGTCTGCTAATTGCCACAGAGGATGGCAGCACGCTAGGACTTGCCAAGATAATCATCAACTCAACACTTTGTGTGTGGCAAAGGGAGCAAGGAAGATGGGTAGAAAGCAGACTCATTTAGCTTCGTGCTCTACTCCCAGATGATGCCCTGTGTGATCGGCTACTCCCACCTCAAACCAACATTGACAAACCTTCGGTGGTTGGCTTTTCAGAGACAGGAGCTGGTGTCATTTTCTTAAGGACATGTGTTGGGTATTTCACTATTGATCTGAACTCGGAGGAGCAAGAAGGTAGGGAATGTCTTAGGCTCGGGTCGCATTGTTCCCTATGTGAGCTTCTGCACCCCAGGTATATATTTCATTGTTTTTTAGTTTGCCCATTTGCACAACAAGTATTAGTTCAACATGAAAATATTCTGGATTGCTATGGGCCCAGCAACATGGTGTTTTTTTTTTGTGGCGAAAAGAACATTATGTCAGTGTGACATCTCAACCTCATGTAAAAACTAGAGTACTTCTGCTACGTATATATTATCTACAGTCCAAATATTAGCCTCATGCTACTCTTTAATGATATATATGTTCCTCAATCATCTCCTGTATGCTAATGTCTCTTGATAACATTGTAGAAATACAAATAGGATACTTTCCTTGATCTGGACTAGTTTGAGTTCATCTTAATGATGTTGTGGATACGTGACCATTAACTAGATAATAAATCAGTGCTGTTTTGTTGTCCATCGGAGGAAACTTGATGTCTCTTGTGTGATTTGTGTAGATCCAATGTTCATTGCTACCATTGATTCCTCATATTTTGTATTTGTGTTTCTTATGCAGCACCGGGAACAGTCTCCACAGATGAGGGACCAGCAGCTAGTGTTGTTGTCTCTACAGATGATGAACCAGGAGCTGGTGTTGTGGTCTCTAGAGATGAGGGGCTAGGAGATGTTGCTGTCTCTACAGATGAGGGGCCAGGAGATGTTGTGGTCTCTAAAGATGAGGGGCCAGGGTCTAGCATGTCAAGTGCATAAGAAGCTCAAATTACAAGTACAAGGCCTTCTAAATCAAGAAGCAAATTACTAGAACAGAAGCATGGTTTTTGGTGCGATATCTCTACATGATTTTGCTGTTGTGCTGGCCTTGTTCTGAAGCCTAAATGCATTCTAGTTCCCTGGTATTGGGAATAATTAGTAGTACTATTTATCTCTAAAATATGTAGCTTGCTACTTAGTTTGAAGCTGTCTTGGGCTCATCTGCAGGATGGAAACTGAATCAGGATTGTACTCTCACTTTGAGCTTGGGAACTTGGAGTTTGCAATCAAATTATGAGAATGCTATTGACTCGTGTGAAAGTATGACATATGGAATTAATGCTGTGTGTGATTGCAGAAAATTTTCCTCTTTTACTTGGAAGTGTAGTCGATTCAGCAAACACGAGCTATTTTGAAGCAGCTTTAGCTGACCAATTTTGGGGTGAATGCCAATAAACAACAATTGCTGGTTGCAAAATCTGTGATGTCTCTATTTGTTTACACAGAAGTAGGACCTCGTGTAAAATTGGACATCATCATTATTGAGCCGTATAAAGACTAAAGAGTGTGTGAATTTCTCCATTTTTACTCCCTGTATAGAAGCATTGTATGTTTTTGTACTGTACTGAATTTGTATGTTTTTGTACTGTACTGAATTTGTCATTTGTAGGGTCGGGAAGTTCTTAAGTTGGTACACAAGTTTAAGCCTTCAAGTTCATACCACCACTAGATAGAGTGTGGGATAGATGTGTTGCAGCTAACAGAGCCTGAGAATTGTTCTCCTAGGCATTGTACCTAAATGTTTTGGATAGACACGTGTGCTGCATGTGCTTGAGCAAGTGCCAGTGCAGTTTCCTGCTGGATGTAAGTCGAATTTCTATGGCAGTTTGATGGAATCTGATCCATCCGCTTGGAGGTTCTTCTAGAATAAATCTGTGATCTTAGTTGTACTGATGCTTAATGTGAACTGCAAAATTAAGATTTGAAGAGCTCTATTACGTAGGCGAGTGCTTGGCATTGTTGTTTATCTATCCCCATCATACCTATGCAAGGTCCGTAGACCTCAATGGTTGCAAACGATGAGCATATTCAGTACCCAATTCAATAAGCATGTGATTTAGGGGGTTGCTTGGCTAGTGACTAGTTGGAGGCTAATTTTTAGCTATCTTTAGCTGTGGTATCCAAACAAGCTCTATATCGGTACGTGACCGGTTTCGTCTAAAATGTTAGCTCACGAGCGCCAATCTTCCAGTCCGAGTCCAACGAACAAGGCAACAATGGATAGGTGTTATTAATAATGAATTTCATGTTTGGATTCACAAAATGTTGGATAATGGAGTATACGTTGAGTCTATTTATCAGCTAATTCGTTCATTTTTTATTTTATTTATTTATTTATTTTGAAGGAAGGATGGGATGGGTTGCCAGGGCCTTTACTCAATTCCTCTGCTCCAGCACAGCATTTGTATTTTTGGAGAAGGCTTCAGTTCAGTGTTCATTCACTCTAACTGTAGAATAGAGAGAATCACCACACGCTCAATGTGGGTGGGGAGCCTTTCACATATAGGGCCAATCAGACACACATGACAAGTACAAATATAGGAGGCTATCACCTGTACAAGGAAGCCATCCTAATGTAAGGAAACTAGGCTATACATAGCAACTAGCCTATTTAGGGATCTCTAATGATCCCGATATATAGATATTCTAATACCCGCCGCAGTGATAGCCGTGGAGAATCATGGACGCACGTATGTCCGGAAATCGGTGAAGAGTCGAACGGGTAGACCCTTGGTCATAATGTCTCATGAATTGGTACGCGAGGAACATGAAGAACTCGAATCGTCCTAGAGCAACCTTCTCGCGACGGGTGGATGTCGATCTCGATGTGCTTCGTGGCGGCGATGGTGGACGGGTTGGCGAAGATGTAGACGGCGCCACGTTGTCGCAGAGACAACCGTCGCATTAGTGATCGAGATGTGGAGTTCTCGAGCAATGACGCAGCCCAGCAAAGACTCGGCCACAACATGGGCCATCGCACGGTACTCGCTTCAAAGACTAGAGCGAGACACATTGGCCGTCGGGCGCTTGAGGACCAAGACACCAGTTGTCGCCGAGGTAGACACGTAAGCCGGAGGTGGAGCGTCAGCGTGTCGGGGCAGCCGCCCGGGCCGGGCGTCGAGTAGGCAAAGAGTCGGTCGATGGCGCCGGTGCCCAAGTGCAGGCCGGACGATAGGGAGCCCTTGACGTACCGCGCAGATGCGCTTTGATCGCCGCAAGGTGCGGCTCGTGGGGTCGTGCATGAAGAGGCAGACCTGCTGGACGGCATAGGCCAGGTCCGACCTTGTCAGGGTGAGGTACTGGAGCGCACCAGCAAGGCGTCTATACTCCGAGGGGTTAGCGAGCGTGGCGCCCTCTGTGGCGGACAACTTGGTCCGGGCATCCATGGGGGTAGCTATCGAGTGGCACTCAGACATGCCGGCACGTTGGAGAAGATCCACAACATACTGCCGCTGGGAAAGGAATAGCCCGCGGCTGTCCCGAGTCACCGAGATGCCGAGGAAGTGGTGCAGGTCGCCGAGGTCCGTCATGGCGAACTCCGAGCGGAGGCGCGCGGTGATGTGCTGGAGAAGGGCCGGCGACGACGCGGTGACAATGATGTCATCGACGTAGAGAAGGAGGTAGGCCAGCGCGTCGCCAACTTTGTAGACGAACAGGGAGGCATCCGACTTGGAGGGGGTGAAGCCGATGCTGCGGATGAACGTGGTGAAGCGCTGGTTCCAAGCACGCGGCGCCTGCTTGAGTCCATACAAGGACTTCTGCAGCAAGCAGACAGAGTCAGGGGCAGCGGGGTCGACAAAGCCGGACGGCTGCTCGCAGTAGACCGTCTCCTCGAGGTGGCCGTGAAGGAAGGCGTTCTTCACGTCGAGCTGGCGGATGGGCCACTCCCGAGACGCTGCGATGCTGAGGACAGTGCGGATCGTGGCCGGCTTGACCACCGAACTAAATGTCTTGTCGTAGTCGACGCCGGCCTGCTGGGAGAAGCCACGGACGACCCAGCGCGCCTTGTGCCGGGCGAGAGAGCCGTCGGCGTGAAACTTGTGCTTGAACAGCCACTTTCCAGTGACGATGTTCGCACTAGGCGGGCGAGGGACGAGGCGCCAAGTGCCATTGTCGATCAGCGCCTTGTGTTCTTCCGCCATCGCAGCGCGCCAATTGGGATCGGCGAGTGCGCTGCGATAGTTCGCCGGGAGGGGCGAGGCAGCGGAGGCGGAGAATCCGAAGCACTCGACGGTGCGGAGACTGCCGGTCTGTGAGCGCGTCACAAGCCGCACGGCAGCTCGAGGAGCTGCTGCACCAGGGCCAGCAGCGGTTGCTGGTGCTGCTGGAGGCACAGCAGGGGGCACCAGTGGTGCTGGAGGTGCAACAGGTGCCACTGTTGCGGCCACAGGAGCTGCTGCTTGGTCGGTCGGCCCTGCAGGAGGCCGGGCACGACGAGTGTAGACAGCGCCGAAGCACTGGCCGGCCAGCCGGGGGCCGCCCGCAGGAGGAGCCAGAGGGCCCAGCTGGAGGATAGCCGGGTGCAGGAGCTCCGGGGACTCGTCCACGCTGGAGGTGGGGGCCGTAGGGCCAGCGAGTAGCGGAGCGGTGGGCGCAGGTGCCGTCGAGGAAGATAGTCCCTGCATCAGGAAATCAAGTGAAGACGGCATGGAGGCTGCCGATGGTGCTGCCGAGAAGGGGAACACCAATTCATCAAAAATAACATGGCGAGAGATGATGATGCGCCGAGTGGACATGTCGAGGCAGCGATACCCCTTGTGAGAGGATGGGTAGCCAAGGAAGACACAGGGTGCTGAACGAGGGGCTAGTTTGTGGGGGGAGGTGGCAGTGAGGTTTGGATAGCAGAGGCATCCGAAAACTCGAAGGGAGGAGTAGCCTGGGAGTGTTTTGTGAAGAAGCGGATAGGGTATATTGTTTTGTATGGAGGAGGAGGGTCGCCTATTGAGGAGGAAAGTGGTAGTGGCAAGAGCCTCAGCCCAGTAGGGAGGTGGCATGGACGCATGAAGGAGCATGGTGCGGATAGTGTCATTTGTGGTGCGAAACATGCATTCAGCCTTGCCATTCTGTGGAGAGGTATAGGGACACGAGAGGCGAAGCGTAATGCCATGGCTAGCGAGGAAGGAGGTGGTAGCATGGTTAACGAACTCGGTCCCATTATCAGCTTGGAATGATTTGGGTGTGGCGCCAAACTGTGTTTGAGCGTAGGCAATGAAATCGACTATGTGGCGGTGCACCTCGGATTTGTGACGAAGCGAAAACGACCAGCAATAATGGGAAAAATCATCCAGTAGAACAAGATAATATTTAAAACCTGAGGTGCTAAGGACCGGGGACGTCCAAACATCACAGTGAACTAAATCAAAAGGAGTAGTGGTCACAGAGGTAGAATGACTAAATGGGAGCCGTACGTGCTTGCCAAGTTGACAGGCATGGCATAGAGATGATGGGCTCTTATTACAGGAGATGACCGGCATGCTCTGTAGAGTAGCGAGGCTGGAAGGACCGGGGTGACCAAGGCAGTGGTGCCATAGCGATGAGGTGGTGGCGAGGTCAGAGTGGTTCACCGGGCGTGGAGGGAAGGTGTAGAGGTCGCCACCACTATTGCAAATAAGAGTCATACGCCTGGCCTGCTGGTCCTTGACAGAAAAACCAAAGCGCCAAATTCAATAGAACAAGCATTGTCACGTGAATTGACGAAACGGAAGAAGATTGCGCGACGAGGGCCTGCGCAACTGTAACGTTAGTGAGGCGAAAAGGCTGTGTGGGAGAAGACAATGTGGAGGTGCCACGGCATGTGATAGGAATGGTGCCGCTGTCTACAACCGTGATGCCGTGAGGCGGGTGAGGGGGGAGACGGGACATAAGTATACCATCCGAGGGCGCTATGTGAGTTGTGGCGCCAAGAATCGAGGACCTGGGGTTGGACCCTCGGAGGGACATCTGTCACCCGTTCAGGCGGCAGACGAGGCTGCTCGATCCAACCACGGCTCCGCTGCGAAGAGGAGGGCCGCACAATGGAGAACTCGGGCGGGGGGCGGCGCAGGGGGCTCGAGGATGGGCGCCGAGGACGCCGGGCCGCGCCAGCCGGGTTCGCCGGTGCGCCATCGCTGCCATTGTTGCACCCTACCGTCTGTGGGGCGAAAGTAACCAGGGGCCGGCGGGCGGTGTGGGTGCCCGCGGCCCGCCCCCAAACTGGGGACCACCGCCGCCGCCATGGCCGCCTTCGGCCCTTCTTCCTCAGACGATCGCCGCCGCCGCCTTCTTGCGCCACCGTGCCGCCGCTGCCGTGGCCGCTTCGGCGATCGGCAGGGAGCCGCCATCATGGTGGCGTAGGCCGAGCGGCAAGCTGGACCGCACGTGGCGTTGAACGCCGTCTGGGCAGCGACCGTGCCCTTGTTGGCGAGGCGAAGTTCCTTGAGGACGAGCTTCTCACGAGTGGTGGCGAAATCCGGCAGCGGGTGCGAGTCGGCGATGTTGTCCGCAGTGCTGGCGTTGCGATGATTGAGGCCGCACAGGAGGTTGAGGACGAGCTCCGGGTCGGTGATGGTACGGCCGACGTCGCGGAGCGCATCGGCGGTGGCCTTCATCTGCTGGCAGTACTCATCGATGGAGGAATCGCCCTGGGTCATGGAGTGGAACTTGTGACTCGGGAAGATGGCACGTGGGGCCTTGTTGGCCTCAAAGAGGCGCTTGATGGCGACTCCAAAGCTCAAGGCCATGTCTCGTCCGGCACACAAAGAAGGCCGAGGACGCCGGTCCCGACAAAGGTCGAGGGAGCCACCACGAACAGGAGTCCGCAATGGCCCAAGCAGGTCATGGTTCGCTGCCGCCGCGCCGCTGGCGTCTCGGGAGGAGGCCGAATTTTCCACAGAGGGAGGTGAAGAACGGCGACCACTGGTTAAAGTTTGGGTGGTTCAGCTCCAAGGTCACCGGGACATGGGATTTGACGGAGATTGTCGCGTAGGGGGCGACGAGGATGGCGGGGGCGGAGATGGAGTCCGCAGCCGACAGGGTGCCAGAGGAGTGGGAGGCACTAGTGGCAGAGGAGGCCGACATTGTTGGCCTGGAAGAAGAGAGCCGTTGGTGGGGGAGCCGCTGGTGGAGAAAAGGTGCAGGAGGGAGAGAGAAAGGGAACTAGTTCTCTGATACCATGTAGAATAGAGAGAATCACCACACGCCCAATGTGGATGGTGAACCTTTCATATATAGGGCCAATTAGGCACACATGGCAAGTACAAATATAGGAGGCTATCACCTGTACCAGGAAGCCATCCTAATGTAAGGAAACTTGGCTATACAAAGTAACTGGCCTTTCTAGAGAATCTCTCTAATGATCCTGATATATACATATCCTAATACTAACATATACATATCCTAATACTAACATAATCGTGGATTGTCACTGCAGCTAATGCTGCCACCAAAGCATCAATATCGATGCGAGTCAAATGATTAGAATGACCAATCTCACAAAACAAATCATGATAATTCTTGTATGGACAAAACTTTGTATCTATAGAACACGGGACAAATACTGGACAATCTCACAAAACAAGTCATTAAAATCCTTATCATGTACCGTGACAATCAGCCAAATCACCGACGAACAATGCACAGGTATTTGCTCAACTAGACTGGACAACCAAAGTCCAAATGATCACGGAAAAGGCTACTTGAATGTAAGGTGATTGATACAGGTACTTAATGATATCGCTTGGAAGATATACAAGTTGGTTCCTAATTATGATGGACATTCGCTTACACACATTAAGCATTGATGCTAATTCAAATGACCACGGGCCCAGACTAGACGACTACGAACACTTCATCGATCACAACTTCACTCAAGGATCAATTCAGGAACACAGGAATCCAAAACAGATGATATATCAAAATTTCATAGAACAAATCAATTCTTCATCAGCTTTCACGAGCAAAATGCCCAGCGCAAACAAAGTACTGTCAAGCATATAAAACTTTACCCATTTCAGAGAACATTCAATTCCCGCTTGGAACACAGGCAGCAAAGGATTGCTACAATATATAGAAGTCTCGTAAAGCAGAACTCTTCATCTATCCTACAGATAATGAACATCCTGCGGCATAACAAAGCACAAATGTCTGCATACTCAAAGACACTCAAGATAGGCCAATAAGCCTCAAGGAGCTTATCTTCTTTGACACACCGACAGTCTTTCCACGCCTCCCGTGGTCTTGGTGTGCTGGCCACGGACACGCAGGCCCCAGTAGTGACGCAGACCACGGTGGTTCCTGGATAACACAGGGTTTTGTGTCATATAACTAACGCAACAACAAAAACAGATATTCAATCACAAGCATATTCGTGTGAAGGGCGGACAACAGTTTCAACACAGATGAACACGTTTTCACCGCAAAAAGACATTGGCTGTGTACAATTATGAAAAACATGAATAGCACTAACAAAGAGGAAAATGCAACTAATATTTTTTACGACAGTGGCGTGACAATAAATATGTGTGCATGCTAACTTGTGTATAGCAGTACAGCATCAATCAATAATAATAGCAGAAAATGTGATGATAGACTGACCTGATCTTCTTCAGCCTCTCAAGGTCATCCCTGAGCTTCATGTCAAGGGCATTGGAAACAACCTGAGAGAACCTACCATCCTTGTAATCCTTCTTCCTGTTGAGGAACCAGTCAGGGACCTTAAACTGGCGGGGTTGGCCACCACAGTCATGAGGCGCCAAGCTCATCAGCGCGTTAGTTCACCAGCCCTGCACAAAAACATAATCATCATTCATCAGTGCCCAACTTCATGCAATGGGGCATTCCTGCAGTAACATGCAATATTAGACTGACATCCTAGTGGCACAGTTGGCTAATATGGCACAATTAAAATTTAGTGGGACTGGGACAGTGGTGCAATACAACAATCTCAGACTTCAGCAAACACGATCAAACTGGAAACATTGAAAAAAAAAGCCTAGACAAGTATTCGCAATTCTACACTGGTTAGTCATATGGATGGCATAGGCTTTAAAACACATTTTCAAATGGGGTTCACTGCATTTTCCCAAGTAGTCAGAAATGCTAACTTACAATCCATGCTGAGCCACAGATGACTACTGAAAACAATCAGTAGATACAGTATGTTCCACAGTTGCCAAGCTTGTACATGGAGGCAACCAAAATTGGCCTTATCTAATTTCTTAACAGTTTATAACCTTACATAGCCTACCCCAACTTGTTTGGGACTTAAAGGCTTTGTTGTTGTTGTTGTTGTTGTTGTTGTTGTTGTTGTTTATAACCTTACAATTTATCTTTCATATAATCATACTCATATACCAATGCAAAAAAAAAACTATTGTCCAACAGGTCCAAAAACGAAGCCAATCCTAAATTCAGGATATGTACAGAAGCTGAACAACTTTGAAACATGTTTCTTCATTGAATAGAAAATAAACATTAACAGACATTTTTACCAAAAACTGATAAAAAACAGAGTTCTCGGTACTCTATGGCTACAGCATGAACTTTCAGTACCTAAAATGAAATCATTGCTGAGGAATTCATGTCAACAGTTCTGATAAAGTTAGCAGTGGTTTTAATGCACCCACCAGGTTGGAAACAAATTTCAGCATGCTCATCAGTAAAGCCGCTAAATTGGCAAATTAATGGTGCTAAAGTAAGTTGCACATAAGCTTGATGACAACAAGCACAAAAAGGAAAATGATTATTACAACCAAATCATCAGACTGTAAATCTATCCTTCTGTCCAACAGAAGGGTATTTAATTCCGCATAAAAGCACAAATCATCCAGAGCTTATACTCGTTAAAACAGTTTCAAAGGCCTAATATTTTAAAGAAATTTGACTGGCCTCTAATCTAAATTAAAATTCTAACCCCCAAAAAACTGTTCGTCCAACCTAGACAGCTGCAGCCCAATACATGTCCAAATGAGGCGATCCCTCACCCCGGCAACGCCAAACTCCACAATAACCATCCACAATTCGCAATGCTAATCACCGACAATGCCGCCATTACATCTCCTCCTCATTCCACTACATGAACCAACTGCAAAAAGCCATCGAGAACTCACCGCTTGTTCATGTCGATGTCGGCCTTCTTGCAGACGATGTTGGAGAAGCGGCGGCCGACACCCTTGATGGAGGTCATGGCGAACATGATCTTCTGCTTGCCATCCACGTTGGTGTTGAGCAGACGCAGGATGTGCTGGAAGTCCTCCCCCGCGATCAACGACTGCAAAGCCAACAACGCCAACCGCGCGTCAGACCAATCGCCGACCCGTGACGGCTCAGTGGGGCCACAAAAGAAGATAGGGCGGAGCTCTTACCATGGCGGCAGCGGCTGGTGGAGCTCGGGCGCGCGCCGGAGTTGGAGGCGGCGACGGGCTGCGGCTGCGCGGGGGTAGGGTTTCTCCTCTCGCTGGCGGCGGCGGCGTTGCGAGGCGGGCTTTATAGTTGGGAGTGTGATGGGGTGGAAGCAACCCTAGTGGACGCGGATCGACGGCTAGGATGGATGCGAAGATGTGGAGTGGGGTTGGGTGGGCTTTACGGACTGTTTTGACCTAGTTTGGGCCTGCATGGGCAAAAACATAAGGTTCAGGAGTGAACATCTAGCCCATCATTTTCTTGTATCTGGCTACGCCGTCTGCGTTTTCCTTTTTGCTTGATTTGATTTGAAGTTTAACTTTTTCTTGAGAATGATTTGAAGATTCAATTTAAATTAGTTTCAGAATATTAAGAATAAAAAATTGAATGAGTTCATTTCCCGTAACTGTTCTTAATAGAAGATACAAAAATTTAAAAAAGTAACACTATTTGTATTATGCTGATTGTTGGGATTGTTAATTATTAAAAAAATGGTAAATCTCCCCGTGTTGTCACGGGATTTGGGAAAAAATTAGAAGCATAAACATGAAAGAGTTTGATGGGAGTAGAATAATTTCGTACATTTGAGATTTCAGATTTTATAGTAGTTGGAGATGTGAATGCAAGTAATTTGCTATATCTCTGTATCGTGGGTGGTGGGAAATTTTCTGCAAAGAAAATTAGAGCACACAAGATGTTAATCCATCAAGTAATAAAAATAAATAAATTAACGCAGCATGAATTTGAAGAACCCGATTGGAGGAGGCCAATTTCCGCGGCGTCTCCAAGAACGCTGGCCGTCCAGAAATAAGGCAAACAAAAACCATTGCCCCCGTGCTGAATTTTAGTGGCCTACATGAGCTTGGAACGTCTCCACCCAAACAGACATGGGGTTCGCTGGTAGGGATCTCCGGAGCTGATACAAGACATGGGAAATAGAGAAGCGCTGCATCGTACTCATGACAGCACTTTCCAGCTTGATGCCTGTTCTGTTGCCTCAATAGGGCCTGTTCTGTTGCCTCGAAAGAAGGGCATGTTTGGAACGCGGGAAATATTTCCTCTCCCTCCGTTTTTCCTGTGAAATTCCTGCACGATTCCTGCGAAACCCTTAGGATTTGAGGTGGCTGCTTAACATTGGATGGCCAGAACAAAAATGATAACATGAAATGTTGTGGTGCAAGATAAAACTTTGTAGTAGGGCTTTGTTTTATATAAGGCTAATCCCAATCCATGGTATCATGCTCCAATATCCAATGCTGACACATCATAAGAAGAGTATTGAATTATTAGGGAAAAAACATGTACAATGCATGATATCATGTTACTATATACAATGCTGTCATAGTAATTAATTATTTCGTATGTTGTGTCTATGAATGTGGGTCCAAACTGTTAAAATGGATGCTAAATTGTTGCATTTCGTGCCAAAACTACAAAGCCCTAAAATCCAAACAGTTCAACGGTGCTTTTCAACGACCAAACACTGTTTTCCTCTCACAACAAATCGGCATAAGCCAAATTTCAGCGAAACGCCTAGCATGATATCTAATAATAACTGTATGTTATAAGTTATAACCAATAGAGTAACCTAAGAAAAAAATGGGTACATTGCAGGATCAGACTGCTCGAAAAGTCAAAATGTGGCAACAAGGCCGCATCAACTCCATTCAGATAGAAAAATTTACAGCTACATCCATCATTCCTTCGGTTACATCCATCACCCTTCGGCTGATCCTCTGCAGTGTGTCACACGAATCACGCTGCAAACATGTAGAGGCGATTTTGCACTTCCATTTCCATCAAACAGAAAACAGACAGGCTGCTAAGTGCTACTAGTAACCACTAACCGCCCACTGGGAACTATCGTTACATGTAAAGCAGCAGAACAATCGTGGTTGCAGCCCTGCAATCACGAAAGGAATTTCACAGTGCTACACAGACAAACAAGCGACAACTTATAACCACTAACACATGGCTTTTTCTTTTCTTCTAATTTCTGTACATGGAACAAAATTCCACATGCATACCATGGGTACCAACTCTTAACAAGGAGTTTCTGGTCAACCAGGAGGACAACAGAAAACTTCCAAACATGAATATCTACAACAAAATGTTGACCCTGATTGTGGGTCGTATAGAAGAACAAAAAGTCAGGAAAGCTTCAAGATCTACAGCCTCAGTGTAGAAGAACCAAAAGTCAGGAAAGCTTAAGAACCAACTGTGCCATGCTTCTCACGGACTGTCCCAGCTCCCAGCAGTGCCTCTCGACACTGTCAATACAAATAAAAAACAAGACCTTTTAGTTAAAAGATTGTGAGGAACAAGCAATTGAATGCCAAAGGATTTGACATGATTTTAGGAAATTTAAACAGACAGCGCATCGACCTAATTTTGTTTCCCATCTAAAGTAACAATTAGCAATGGTTATTTAACAGTTGCTCATCAGCTAGCACAGAGTGATCTAAAGAAAGGATCAGGATGGACAAGTCACGCTACTTCCCAGAGCTTCAGATGTTCTTGACCATGACAAGGACGAATGAAAACTAGAATAAGCATTAGTAAAGTGGACTTGTAATGCCTAAGGAGATCACAAGTGTCAACGGGGAGCAGTTCCAACAAGTTTCTGACTCAATGCAAATGAGAGGCAGAAGTTGTTACAAACTTTGTTCACACATTATTTCTTTGGTTTTAAAAGATGGCTCAAGCTCATAGTCATAGATGGACATCTGAGCCACAACTTATAACAGATGCTGAGATTTGCAATGTGTGCATGCTACATGCGATTAATGATTTGCATGTCTTCAAAAGCATACATAAGATTCATAACATGACCAAGCATATTTGTGATCAAGAATTTTCTTACCAACAAAAATTCATCCACGTCAGTCGCCAGCCCAACAATCTCTCTTTTAGACCATCCAGGGAGCACTGTTATCCATAAATGTTACCAATGAGTACCCACTACCAACTATCCTTGATGTCCACCAAAAACAGTTCCTATCAAACGAGGGAGTTGATTTACTACACTGGTTGTTTTGAACAGGCGCGTGTAACAGTAAAAAAACTCGTAGGTGTGTGTGGTGTGGTGTGAGTTTTGATTGGCTATTTGAGCCTTCCTTTCCCCTATCTTATCGCAATGACACGCAGCCCTCCCATGCATTCCAGAAAAAATTATTACACTGGTTAAAGAACCCTAGAATCAAAAGCAACTAGAAAAGATGCATATCTGTGTATGGTTCTGGCGCCTATGAATTCATGTGAAAATTTGCTCAAATCAAGCACATGCATCTGCTCAAAATATTGCCTGAAACTTTTTCCAGGTTTTTTTCCCAAAATAAAACTGAGATTTAGAAGCTCTGATAAGGATTGTCCGATTTGCATGCATTTCTCACAGATGCTTGATCATAACTGTGAACTGACATTTTCATGACTCGTGACTGATTTCAGACCTAAACTTAACTATAACTACAGTAATTCATAGACAGAGACACAGTTATATAACTACATCAGAGGTGACATGTTTCATGTTGCTGCCACAACTTAAACATCTAGGGTAAATCTACTGGTGACCAATATATGAACTCAAGTCATTAACGATACAACAAAGTTGGTATGTACTAATAATAGCTGTCTACAGCTACCATATATGCATCCATAAAGTACCACAAAAACACGCACCTGAAAAGTATTCTCAGTTTCTCAGTGATGATGGAAAGTGCAAAATGTAAGGAACAATTTTCTTAAACTTATAAGCTGAATGATAAAATATTTTGTAATCTCTAGAACAATACCTTTATAGTAGAAAATAGAATGGTCATGCATTAACAGGTTCTCTAGAAGCTAGGTCATCTTCCATGCTGTTATTACTGTATATGACATCCTCTCCATGAAGTTGACCCTCCCCACAAGTTTGAGTAGGCTTAACCACATTTTCACCAACATCTGAAATGTTGAGCACGGGAGCTGTTATTCCTGCTTCATTGAAACTCTCACCAGTCATTCCTACCTTAATAGTTGCATCATCCATTTCAACCATATCCTTTTTAAGTGATTTGACTCAGTCAAGGTCACCAACATATCTTCACAACTAGAAGAGTGTTTTCAAATCTGGTAAAAGTGAGCCAGTTTTGTCCTCAATAATTCCACTTGCTGAACATATAACTTCACAGATACTCCACTGTCAACTGCAGAAAGCACTGTGATCTTCATTAGTACCTTTATCTCTATAGGCATCCCTTGAGGTTCCATTTACAATAGTAGTTCTATCTTCCAAGCTTTTAGCTTCCATTGAGATTTGACTATACCCTTACAACCATAGTTTTAAACTCATGCTTATCAGGCTTTTCATCCATAATGACTAAAGGTATTTTAGTGTCCACAGGAGCTGCGAAGCTTTCTCATCCTCCTGATTAGCACAATGGACAGATGTCAAATTAGATTCAGTTTTGGCCTGTTATGGGAGCAGCCCAACAGAAAGTTCACTAGAGAAACGTGTTTTCACCTTTCTCCAATCTCATTAGATAAACAAGAACATTGATCCACAGTCACCGGAGTAGTAAGTGAATCAGAATGACTGGAATTAGATTTATTCTCACACTCTGTTCTGAGATAGTATTTTCAGCAATCAATCTCCCATTGGTTTCTTTTGTATTTTCTTCTTGAATGTTTTCTGCTTCAGCCATGCACTGCATGTTGACTTGACCACAATTAGCTCCTGGAAGTGTATGCAACTTAACTGTCTTACCATCACCTATGGATACCGGGATGTCCTTTCTATAGTTATTTTAGCTCATTTTCTTCTGCAGCAGGGAGATTGGTCCAATGTCAAGTCTGGCAGAGTTTCAAAGGATGAGGACTCTCATGACGCTTAATTTCAAGATTGTCAGAGGCATCAAGTTCACTAGAAAGTCATGAACAGGTGTCACAGATCCACTTGCTTCTCACTGAGCATTTTAGCATCCATCTT